TGGATGGGTGACACACGATTCCTCTAGACAGGGATGTTGGGATAGCAGGGGAGGGGTCCAGACTGCCCCTCGTGGTAGTACTATGCCCCATGGGGACAGTGAGCCACGCTGGGGCCAGCACAGCTCCACTTGTCTTGAAGGTAGCTAGGAACTGAACATACCCTGACAAGGTGGCCAGGCACGAAGACATGCCACATCCCAAGTACTGTAGGGGAAGCAGTGGGGACATTTGGGACTTCAAACACACAGCCAGTCCTAGAGGTGATAAGCACAGTGGGGGCAGGACTGAGTTCTGGGATTTTAACAAAAAGACATCATCAGGCAGTGAGAAAAAACAGATCTCAAGTCAGTAGGATGTATAGAAGCTTACTGATTCCAGGTGTGGAGTAAAACACTTGATAGAATCTCTTAGGAGGAGGTTAAAAATGAGAGCCATTTTTCTTTGAGGTTAAGATGTATGTTTTCAGAAAAGAGTAATGCTTACACAGACTAGCAGGAACAAGAGTTTCTTAGTTGTGGGCAGGAAGGGAGCCAGGGTCTGTTCTTCTCAGCCTCACCAAGCGCTTGCTAATTTTTTTATTCCCATGTTAGGAGAAGCATAGAAGAGGGTAGAGAGGGCTCAGAGAAGCACTTTCAGTTTTACTGAAGTTATGGGGAAAAATTATTCAATAAGAGGGAGTTTAGGGAGACATCCCAGTGCTTAAAGGTTTTAGCTACCAAGGCAAAGGGTGAAATTCTAGTCTTTTAATTATAATAAATAATTAAAAAAAAAAAAAAAGAAATTCCAGTATCTCAGGTAAATTTGACCAAAAGGGAAACTAGTCAGGATTAGGAAACCAAGTAACTTTGTGGGGAGTAAACAGACTAATGGTTAGAATTCGAAAAATCAAGAAACTAAAAGCAATTTCAATTGTATGCAAACTGTTTAAGCTTTACTTAAAGTAAAATTAGAGTATGAAACCTGTTTGACAATATATGAGTACAAATCCCAAAACCCCCCAAAACAAAACAAAAAGAAGCATAAATGCTCTTAACAATTCAAAAACTTCCATCTATTACATAAACAGCACTTATTTAAATGCAATATATATTTTATACTGACCTCTGCAGTCAATTTTAATCAAAAGCTACACAAATATTTTTAGTTTAGAGATGGGGTCTTGCTATGTTGCTCAGGCTGGATTTGAACTCCTGGGCTCAAGTGATCCCCCTGCTTCTGCCTTCCAAGCAGCTGGGCTATAGGTGTGTGCCACTGCATCCAGCCAAATATTTTAATATGACTGGTTTCAACAGTTTAAATTAAACCCACAGTTTTCACATGAAACTGAAAAACCTGTGAACTGACAGCCCATGTAGAGGAATGACTCCCAGCACACTTAATTTGGTTTAAAAAAAAAAATCTGGATTGCTGCTAATGTTCAGGTCTGAAATGAAAAATGAGGTATTTTATTCCTCCGTTGTAGGGTCCTATATTGTTTTCTAAATCCTGGATCACGCATAGCATGTTAGACCAGGAAGGAGCCTTAGCAATTCTGGCCCATGCCTGCCATTGGACAGATGAGCAAGGTGAGGCCAGAGAGGCGTGAGTGACACTGAAGCACATGCTGTGGGCCCAGGCCTCCAGCTTGGGCACGATCCTTAAACCAGTGAGTGCCGGCTTGTTGGCACTGAACAGAATCTCTTGTGTGTGGCTCTGTCCAGTTTTCTGAAGCCCTTTGACGAGCTCCTGGGTCGTACCAGCTGTAGCTGGCTAGCCCTGGGGTCATGACATGGCCAGTGCTGTGGGGTGCTAGGTGATTGGTGTCGATGTGTACCCTGTATCTCCTTTGTCACACAAGGATGGCTTGAAGTTTGCCGTCAGTAGCTGGTTAATTCAAACAATGGGCCCCCACATGGTCACGGCCCCACACTTGAAAGAAATGGCAGTGTCCACCTGGCCACAATGTTTCCCATCTCCTAAGGCACCATTTCTTGCCGAGGCCCATAGCCGGGGAACACCTGCCTCTAAGTCGTATAGTAATGACCAGTCTCCATATCACGGAATTTCCAAGAGTTTGTCCAGTAAACGTACAACTGCTTTTTGCTGGTCTGCCCGTATCGCTTCTCTTCTTCAACCTAAGGAAACCACTTACTCTCCTGGAGAGAGAATGAGTTCCTAGTTCTTGTGCGCTTTTGTTTACATGTACATATTGTAGAAGCTGATGTCAAGTCTTGCTAATAAAGTGCACTTTAAGTTACATAGTCTAACTTAAAAAGAGGTACCGTATAAAAACATTTGCTGAATCTATGGGTAGTTGACAGCCGTCTACCAAAGTGCTTATGTGTCATGTAGTCTTTTACAGACCCTGGTTGACTGCAAATAATAGCGGAGAAGAAAATTATCACAAAGATTAAATATTTTTAAGGGCTGCAATTCACTTGGAACCATTTGGGCTTGACAAAGTTTTTTTTGTTTTGTTTTGTTTTTAAACAATGATTTAGAAGGCCCACTTTTAGTGCTCTTCCTAGGAGAGCTGCAACAGTTAATAGATCTAATGCCCCTTTTAAGAAGAAAATAAAGTTTAAACCTAAACAAAGGTCTCATCATCTCTTCACTGTTTTTCCCTTTTGAGATCAGTCACGCTATGTCATTTGTTAAACTTTTTCTGACTTCTAAACAGAGTTTGGGTTATTTTGATTGCATAATGCAATTCTCTCATTTGAAACGATAAGTTTAGTCATTTCACTTTTGAAAGGGCAGGCAGCAGAGCCTTTTCTTACATGTTCCTTCAGATTTTCTCTACATCCTGTTTTATGTGTGGTTAGATCAGCTGATGAGTCACATGATGTTTTCCAGCTTCAAATGACAGAAAGAGAAATTCAAAATAACCACACAGAGAAGTATCTTGAATGTTTACCAGACATGCCGCTCAAAATCATGCTTTTCTATGGTTCAAATACTTTTCATATAAGAGCCCACGTCTGAGGGCTGTGAGGGCACTGTTTCCAGAATGCAGGCAGGAGCGGCTGGCTTCGGGAGCCCGCTGTACGCAGCGCAGACACCTCGACACTCCAATCACTGTGTCTTTCAAAGACTTTACCACGCACTGCATCGCGATTTTGGTTACAGAAAAGGTGGGCGCAGGACTTAAAACATAAAAGACGCCTTTTCCTTGACTGTGCGCTGGGTGATGAAGATGTCCTCCTAAGTTTAGAAGTTGGTGTACCTACACTTGCTGTCCCAGGCATTGATCTGCTGAGCGATTTACTGAAGTAGAAAGATTTTTATGTACAAGAAAATATTTCTCAAGATAATGTAATTTAATTACAACAATATATTTTCTATTTTACACACACTTCAGTTTGAAGGGAAAAAATTCCAGTCAGAGAGCTACTGAGTCTTGACAGTGATGTGTTTCTGGAAACCAAGGGTATAGAAAGTTATCGTCCTTCTGCCCTTTCCCTCCAGAAGAAAAGATCTCCAGATGAGGAGCAGTTAAGAGGGCAAGGAGCTATTGATATTTCTCATGTCTTTCTTTGAAGATACAATTGAAGAACTTTACTGATAGTTGGGATATGCCATGGCGACAACCTTGAGAGATCCAGAGAGGACTGCCAGGCGGACCACTGAGCTGGTCCGGCTGGGATGCTCCCTGGAGTCTGGGGAACTTGGCCCAGTTCTGTCACTACCCTGGGATCCCTAGGCTTCCCTCCTCGGGGCCTCCTAACCCCTACACAAGGTTATTTATTGGGAAGAATCAGAGTGAAGTATAAAGTGCTTTTATTATTGTAACGAAGCTTTACTTCCGTCTGACACATTCTAAAACATTTTTAACGTTTCAGTTTCTTAGGCAACGCACGACATTTTCCCGCCAAACTACCTGCTAATGCCAAAAATAAAAACAAAACTACAACCAAAACCAAAGAAGAGTAACTTTGGCATAAGACAAGGTCAACACAGGCCCCGAAGGGGAGTGACTGGCTTTTTCCCAAAGATACAAACAAGCGGCCTCCTGTGCCCCAGTGAAAGAGTCTCAACAGGTGAGGGTTTTCGGCCAATGTGCAAATCCCTCCATACTCCCACAGCCACGTGGTCAGCAGGTCTAATCCTGGCATGCCTTTCCCAGAGCAAGCCTCGTCTAGTTCTTCTCGGTTCTTGGGTGTCTTACCGCAGCCCTGTGCCACGGGGACGCCTCTGAGTCGGCGCAGAATGAACTGCACTTGCACATTTAGAGTAATCTCCATGTGCCCCTCAACAAAACCAAGGAGAGGTCTCCAAGCTCTGACAATGGCTTGCTCAGAAAATCCTCACTCTGTTTTGTTTAGAGCTGCCCAAGCTTATTGCTCTGCACTTACATGAAAAATAGTTTTATGCCTTTCTCTTTTTAGACTGTACTTGTCCACAAGCAGCCCCTCAACTTTGAGAAAGTCACACCTGGTCTTTCTATGGTCCGTGACATGAGCATCTCAGGCATGGTGCCTTTCTAAATACAGCTGTCAGCTGAACACCCTGCAAAGAAAAACGTATTGGGGGAACGTTTCTTTGGGGCCAAAGTCAAAGGACTGCCCCTGATGTCCCAAAAAAGTGGAAAGAACTGTCCCCCAGGTCCTAGTCTGTGTTTGTGTCTATCTGGATGATGGAATTCTTGTTAGAACAGAGACAAAGGACGATGTCAATGCCAAGTTCTGCGTTAGAAGTTGAGGTGCTTGTCAGGCATGGCTCACACAGCCCCGTGAGGGAAATGTATGGAGGGTGGCATGCTTCAAGGCGAAAGGTTTGAACAAGTCCTGCAAACTCATATCCCCATGGTGGTGGCCTGAGTCTGGAGGAGCTTCCTGTGTTTTGTTTTTGGAACCTCTAACTCAATAGGGCGGCCCTTTAATCTTTATCACCGAAGGTGTCTCCAGAGTTAGAATGACATGTTGTACTTGCATAATCTTTCCTGGATTTAGAGGGGAAGGATTTGCTTTTTCAATTTGATCTTTAAGCTCCAGTCCCAGAAGCATGAAAGAGTCACACATGTTAAAAAATACTGCTGTTTAATTTTCTAGTCATGTACTTTAAAAAAGCTGATACAATTAGATATTTTCCCCCCCATCTTCTCAGATCTGCTTCTGAAACCACTGCAAAACAGCTATGCGTCTTAATGTTCAGCATTCATATACATGGAAATGCAGGAAATCCACTCTGAGGATGTGCGTAAAGACCCGTCCCCAAAGTGGGCACGGGGTCCCCAGAACCGCGAATGCAACCCTGTTATGTCCACAGCTGACTTCATGGTCTTACATTCTTTTTTTCTGTGAGGAACAATATGGTTACACAGCACTGCAAACAACAGACACAAAACCTGACTTCTTTCTCTCTTTTTTTGCTCTTCCAGTTTATGCGTCCCTTCCCACTCCTGTCTATACCCACGAATCCATTGATTCCCAGGTTACCCAGCATGAAAAATAGTTGTGGCATTTACCAACCCTGACTTTCATATACAAATGACAGACTTTGTCAAACTGCTGTGAATAAGGTACAATGTTCATTGATACGATACATTTCAACTGCAGGTATGTAGAGCACACAGGCGATCACCATATTGTATTAGAGACATTTTATTGAAAATGCGAAAATAGGAAATGTATTATAGCCTAAAATAAATTACATAACATATACGGCATATATTTATATCCTTAAAATATTTTTTTTGTTTAGGTTCTTTCACTCTAGGAATTTTGACTAAATCAACAATTTAGTGAACTGAGTCCATAATTTTTTAAAGGAAAAAACCCGCTTTCCAAAACTTAGAAAAATATACTGCACTAAATGGATTTCAAATGCGTTACTTCAGGGAGTATCACATAGTGACTTTGATAGTGTTATAAAACATCTTGCTTAATCATGTGGTGTGAGAGGGAAGTACCGCAGCACACTCTGAATGGCCTGCGCTGCCGTTATGGCGACGAGTGGCAGGGCCAGGGAGTGAAGCTGCTTCTGGAGTTACCGCACAGCCACCTGGCATGAGAACGCTAGATTATGACTTAAAGCTGCAGTTCACTGTAAAAACTAAACATCGAGCTAGAAGGCTCCACTGAACTCGCTCTAGTGCCACCTTCAGGAAAGGCGCATGAGAAGTCAGCCCTCGGGACGAGTCATGCAGACGGTGCTGGCATCTGGAGATGCGCTTTGTGACAACTTAAAAAAATTAGCTCATGTATATACATGGCGGAGCATGAGAACCGACGGCTGCTGGAGTCTGGAAAACGCAAAGGGAAATGCTACTGTGCGACCGTGTCAGTCTGCTACGCCCATGGCGCCTCAGACCATCCCACAGATGATCTCTGTGTGTGGGCCCGGCGTGGTCACAGATGTCTGTTCCTCGGTGTGAAGCTGTGGCCTGCCTTCCGCATGTGTGTGGTAGACAGCTTATGACTCCATGGTGGAAGGGAAACGGAACAGGTGACCAGGGTTACATCTCTTTGTACAGCCATGTGACTGGGAAGCAGATCAGAGGAAGCTGGGCTTCAACATGTTGATTCCTTTTTGTTGTTGTTTTTGGGAGATGGAGTCTCACTCTGTCGCCCAGGCTGGAGTGCAGTGGCACGCTCACAACCACTGCAGCCTCGACCTTCTGGACTCAGGTGATCCTTCCACCTCAGCCTTCCAAGTAGCTGGAACTACAGGTGCTTGCTACCACGCCTGGCTAACTTTTTTGATTTATTGTAGAGACGGGGTCTCGCTAAGTTACCCAGGCTGGTCTCGAACCACCTGTTGATTCTTGAGAGAGAAAATGAAAAGGGACAGAGAGTCTGTGGCCCGCTGTGCAGGGTGATTGAGAGGCGATGATGGCACAGCCACAGTCCTTTGGTTCCAAGTGGAGATTGTCCGAGGGAGGAAGACACAGCTATAACCCCGAGGCAGCTGTGTCTTTTGGGTTTTTGTGAAGCAGGGGCATGAAGTCAGCTGTTTCATTTGTTTTGACATAGCAACAATAAAGACCTTTCCTTAGGTCCCCATGTCAGTGTGAGCATACCCAGTATGCTAGAGAATTGACACGAAACCTTTGAACCAAGGCCTCTTCATTACCAAAAAACAAAAAAAGGAACAACACAATGGGAGAGGGACAAGATGATGCTGAAGTGTCGTCCTGACTGTCCCTGCAGTGCCCCATGGCGTCCTGTGCCTTATTCATTCTCCTCCCTCATCTCCACGATGTCTGTCACCTCCTCTGTTGGAGGCATGTCAGTCATAGCGGAGTCTTCCCCCTCCGTGGCCGACTCATTCTCCATCTTCTTTTTCTGGATGAAAGAAGGCTCGTCAGTGAGAAGCTGGGGACAGGGACACGTCACATTGGAAGCGCCAGCAGGAGAGGTCTCCGAGGGGTTGGGGGCCCTTCGCTGCAGCCTTGGACCATGCTTAGGACCAGAGTCACCTTGTTGACGCTACGTCTCAGTTCTGTGTATTCCTCGCGCTTTGCTTCTATGTGCACCTGCTCTGTGCCTGGCACTGTGCTAGGCCCTTTGGGGGACACCATGTCCCACCTTCCTGCCCCAGACAACCCACCCTCTGCTGCCCTTCCAAATGGGAGCTGTGCTCTCCCTGACCCCTCGCGGTCACCTGCAGATGGCTTCCCTTCCTCAATCCCAAACCCTCAAGACTGGACTCTCACGTGGTCAGAATATTCCTCCATGTACAGTGCTGGTTGGTCCCCTCTGGGCAGCTCCAGGCCTGCTGTCATTCCCTCCCACTCCCTGCCAGGCCTGATTCCTGGTGACATCCCTGCCATGTTGCCCATCCCTGCGGTAAACGGCCTCTCAGGGGTCAGGTTCTCGGCCCCACCTCACCTGCTCCTGGGCTCGTGACCAGGTCATTATCAGCACCTCTGGCACCACCCACAGGCCAACAGGGACACCTGCCTTTCCATCCCCAGTCCACTGACCCTACCATCATCCTTTTACTGTGGACACCTTCTCAATGTCCCTCTCCCTTCTTTCATCAGTATAAATTAAAAGCACAACCATTAAATCACTTCCTCACCCTGCTTTTCTCTAATCGTATTTGCTAGGCAAAACCCCAACTGTGCTGAGGCCCAAGTCTCCACCAATCTCAGCCCACACCACTTGGCCACCATGGCTGGGGGTGCCCAAGGGCGAGGGGACACCGGTGTCCTGAGATGCCTGTCACAGACCACAAGCACCTCTAAGCGGCCTGGCCATCACTGCATCCCCAACCCGTCACTCTGCCACTTTCCTCGCCAGCTGTCTCCCCCTTCACGCGTCTTCTTTCTCTGAGCCCCCAACCTGTCCCTGTTCTCACCTGATGATCTGGCTTCTCTCTTCACCCAGAAACAAAAGCAACTGGCCCAGGGCTTACCTGAGCCCCACTGCACCTCTGCTCCGCTCATGACACGGAGATGCCACCTGAGCTCCTGTCTTGTGGTATGGACCCACTGGCACCACTGTGTCCTCCCCATGGTCGGCAGCTCCTAGCTGCTGGGTCACTCCCCAAGCAAACGACAGGCTGAACTTCATCCCGTCCTAACTGAATCTCTGAAAGTGATGTCCACACCTCTCTCTCCCTTAGAACAAAACTCCTCAAAAAGGGCTGGCTCTGCTTGCCGTCTTTGACTTTTCTCTCCTTTCTCACACCCACTCCCACCAGGCTTCCAGCACCCTTCACCATGAAACTGTCCAGACAAGGTCACCAACAACTCCCCACTGATGAATTCTGCCATCCAACCCTCGATGCCACCTGACCTTCCTGCCCCTGGGAGGAGGCCGCGCCGTCTCTCACCTGCTTCCGATAGACATAGCATGCAGCAATGGCGACCATGGTGGACTCGCCCACAAAGCCCGCCAGGAGGGAGCCCACACCCAGGGTGGCACCGTGTACCCTGCAAATGAGAACACAAAGGCGATTTGTGTGTTAAAGCCCAGTTGAGGCACAAGAGTTGATGCCAAAACCCAGGAAAGTAAGTGTACTCGAGAGAAGGCTGAGAACGGCCTTCTGGATCTGCTGGCTTCAGGGGGGCTGCGCCCACCTAATCATTACTGTCTGCATGGGGGGCCTGGAACTCGGGGCTGGGCTGCCTCCCTCCCACAGCATTTGAACCCCCTGGCACTCCATCCCTCTTCACGGACACTGGGATCTCCCCGAGGGCAGGGATGATATCCTCCCTCCCCTCTGTTTTTCACCGTCCACGTATGCTCCGAGCTCCGTGCGGGGCCTGCCAGGCTGTGGTAGGAACTCAGTGGGTATTACTCGTACATGGGCCTGGCCCCAAAAGCACTTTTCTAGAATGACTCTTTTGAGTTGGAGTCTCACTCGGTCACCCAGACTGGAGTGCAGTGGCTGCTCCCGGCCACCGCAGCCTCAACCTGCTGGGCTCCAGCGATCCTTCCGCCTCAGCCTTCCAAGCAGCTGGAATTACAGGCGTGTGCTACCACACCCAGCTAATTTTTTGTTTACTGTAGAGATGAGGTCTCACCAAGTTGCCCAGGCAGGTCTCGAACCTGCCTCTACCTGGTGCTCAGACAAACCCAGCATCGTTCTGAGTTTCCAACTCTAGACACGCTTGGGGATTTCACACCAACTGCAGATGCTGAACCTCTGGACAGAGTACTGAAGTGACAGAAGGACCCGCAGCCCACGTCCCCAGACGACATACCCCAGGTAGGGCAGGACCACGAGGCTGGCGATGAGGACGATGATCCGCAGCACGGAGCTGGGGGCCAGGACAAAGGTCTTCTTCAGTGTCATCAGCCACCCGGTGAGATGGGCCCTCACGGTGACTGTGGGTGGAAGCAAGGACTGGTCAGCAGCATCTGCTGACCCCCCATTCCTCCCCCTCTGGCCCAGGGAGGCCCATCCCTGTGGCCCTGGGCTGGGCACTTCATCTTCCTGCTGATCCCTGCTTCGGAGCCTGGGCGCAGCCCAATCCCACCTCGACTTCCTGCCTCCTCCCGCCCTTCGGTGGGATCTGGACAGCTAGTGGCAGGCAGACTCTGTGCCTCACCGTGACTGCATCTTCTGGGAGGGCCTTGCCCGATTCTGCCTCACCCCCAGCCCAACCTCATCCTCCCATCACCCCTCTCTAGGAGAGAAAGAGCACTCGGAGCAAAGCGGCAGTTGGTGCTGCAGTTTTTTGCTCGAGCAGAAACTCCCCCTCCACCCCCCAGTCCTGTCCGAGAGGTGAGGGGGCCCAGAGCAGCGGGTCAGGGAGAGGGGGCTGCTCTTGCCTGTTTCCTTTCACTCCCTCCCAGAGCCAGCCCTGACCACCGCCATGGTGGTCATTTCCCTTTCTCCCTCCCCCAGCAGCCCGGCCACTCTCTCGCTCTGTTGCTGTTCCACAGTGACGTGCGTGTCTTCCCTTGCTGCAGGGGGCAGGGCTGTGCGGCAGGTGAAGGGCAGTGGGGGTGACGGCAGGGTCACCGAGGTCACCGAAGGCACAGAGCCGTGTCCCTGCCAGTAAGAAGTGTTCTGAGTGTCTAGATTCTACCTGAAACCAGAAAGGGCTTGAGGAAGAGCAGGGCCAGGCCGGGGCCTTGAAGGGAGGGGCCCGTCACACCCCGTGGGCAGCTCCAGGCAAAGGCTCTGGGAAGTGCTCACTCCGGGGACAAAAATTCATTTCAGGCTGGGAGCTGAGGCTCATGTCTGATCCCAGCACTTTGGGAGGCCAAGATAGGAGGACTGCTTAAGGCTAGGAGTTTGAGATTAGCCTGGACGACACAGCAAGACCCTATTTTCTACAAAAAAATTTAAGAAAAAAAAATTTATTCCCAGAGTGTTTGCATTTGAGGAAGCATCTGCTGTTTTCTTGGTCTAACAGTGTGTCTGCCCTCTCCTGGGGTGGAAATGTTATATTATGAGGCTCATTTTCTTCTCTTAGGCACAGAGAGACCCACTTAGGTTTGGCTAAGGGAGACAGTCAGGGTCACAGGCCCAAAGCCAACAGAATGCAAAAGACTACAGGGCCTGGCAGCTGTTTGGACGCCTTTCGTTTTGCGAGCAAGAAGAGATTATAGATGAATTGTACACCCAGGGGCAGCCAGCTCCCAGCTGGGGGGCTCCAGAACCTTCCATCCCTCCTCCTCAGGTCACACATGTCCTAATCTCTAAGTGCAGCTTCCCTGAGGTGGCGTCACATCCCAGAGCTTGGCTCACCCAGTGTCCACCCAACAAAGTCTACACACCATCCCAGTGCTGTGACCTTCCAGCCATTCCTCCATTCAACCACTGCCCAGAGGGCGATGCCAGGAAATCTGGCCTCCAGGAATGCCAGGTGTCTAGAAGCAGAGGCTGCACCACCAGCCCTGGCTTACACCAGCTCCATGGCTCATTTCCTGAATTTTTCTGGCAGTTAATTTTTGACTAGGTGACACACTTGGTACAGAATTTAAAAGGTGCAAGAGGGAGTACAGTGCCGAGGTCTTCCTCCCATGATGACTGCCCAGGCCCTTGTCCTAGTCCCACAGGCAACCACTGTTACCAGCTCAGGTGAGTCACTTCTAGAAACAGAGTATAGATACACAAGCACTTCCCCACATACGAGTAATAGCACAGACACACACATGTTACAGAAATAGCCAGTACAAACCAACCATTCTGCAACCTGCTCTTCTCATTTAATCTAGAATGACCTCTTTCTTGTGTAATCTACCTCACGCTGTATCAGCCTGGGAATTTCCAAATGGGCTTGTGTTTCAACCATGAGCATTTTCCTGCTGGGCCGCCTACCATCTGCCTGTACTTGCCCCTGGAGTCTTCCTTCCTCAAGACCTTGTTCTCTGTCTTTGTACACCTCCAGGTGCTAGCAGTAAGTGCGTCGTTCTATTTTCTTTCTTTCTTTTTAAAAATTTTATCTTTTATATTAACATACTGCAAAACTGGCTTTTTTGGCATGCTCCTCTAAGCATTTTAATACTTGCACAGATTTGTGTAACCTCCATCATAATCAGGATGAGAACAGGTCTACTGTTCCCCTGACACTATCCTCTGGGTCTACTCTCTTTTTCCTATGATCGCAACCACTGTACTTTAAAAAACAAATTATGCCTGCTTGAAGCATCTCTTCAACTGTTAACCTACTGGCTGATGTCCTTATATCTTTCTAGCCCACTGTGAAATTTTACATTTTTGTTGGTGACGGGATTACAAACATTTCCAAAGAAAGAAGATGCAATCAGGCATGTGGATAAACAGGAATGCTCCTCTGTATTTCTTTACCTGGAACTGGGAAGAAGGAGAAGATCCTCAAGGGAACAACACAGAGTTCTGCAAAGGCGAAGTCCACTCCAATGATGTCTATCAAAATTTTCTCAGACACGTTGGGTGTCCAAAACATGACAAAACAGAGCTGGGGAGAAAAGACACTGATTGAGCAGGGTTGGAAGGATAAGGTGTGAGTGAGTGGCAGGGGTGAGTCAGGTGTCACATGATTCGCAAGGAGTTTCAAAAGGTGGCGAGCCTGCCGGGCTGGGAGGCAGGCTCGCCGGGCTGAGAGCTGCCACAGTCCCATCTGGCCCTCACCTGGCCACAGGCCCTGGTACCTGTGCCACGTTGTCCTCAGAGGGACTCCCCCAGCAGAGGGTATGTGGCACATCACCCAAGAGTGAGTCATTTCTGGACGGGTGAGCAGGCCCATGAGGGAGATCAGTGTGCTCTCGGGCAAGGCTTAACGAGGCGCCACATGGCTCAGACAGTGCAGGGTGGAAATGTTTATTGGTATATTTTTCATAACCTTAACAAAATAATAAAAAGGGGCCTGAAAGTACTTGGATGTATCTAGAACCACACTGAATCAGTACGTATAATAAAAAAGAAACTATTAATAGAGTAATTATCAGCCTGTAAACTTTTTTTTTTTTGAGTTGGAGTCTCACTCTGTTGCCCAGGTTGGAGTACAGTGGCACACTCACGGCCACCCCAGGGTCGACCTGCTGTGCCTCAGCGATCCTGCTGCCTCAGCCTTCCAAGTGGCTGGAACTACAGGCACATGCTACCATGCTCGGCTAATTTTTTATTTATTGTAGAGATGAGGTCTCACCAAGTTGCCTGGGTTGGTCTTGAACCCGCAGGCTCAGGCAATCCATTTGTCTCAGCCACCCAAAGTGCTGGGATTACAGGCTGAGCCACTGAGCCCAGCCTGCCTATAAGATTTTTAAGGACTAGTTTAAAAAATAAGACAACAGCAACAAAATCTGGAACTTTAGAAAGCAGATGGGCAGGGAGTAAACTGACTTAACAAATGCAAGGAAATGGACTCCTGAACTGATGGGAACATGGCGCCCTCTCCCTACTTCCCTTCCCCAGGGGTCAGGAGGTGCAGCCTCAGCTCCTTCTGGAAGTGGGGGTGAGGCAGGCCCAGAGCCGGCTAGCTGAAAGTCTAGTTAGGAAGCAATTCATCCACAGTTCCTTGGCACAGCTGACAACTGTGTCTCCCCGAATTTGTCAAGGACACAGGAGTTTAATTTCTGGATAAGATAAAGCAGAGGGTACCTGGCATGGTTGAGGACAGTTACTGCAGGTTAAGTATCTCTTTATGGGAAATGCTTGGGATCAGAAGTATTTCAAATTCTAGATTTTTTTCAGATTTTGGAATATTTGCACTAAAATTATTGATTGAACATCCCTAATCCAAAAATACGAAGTTCAGAATGCTCTAATGAGTGTTGACTTTGAGAGTCATATCAGTACTCAAAACCTTTCAGATTATGGAGCATTTCAGATTTCAGATTTTTGGATTAGGAATATTCAACCTGTACATGGAAAACGGGGATCAAGGGAAGGATGACATCTGAATATCCCAGCTTTCTTTCTTTACTTGACTTCCAGAATACAGGAATACAGTTGAGTCCTGTCACACAGAAGACAGTCTCTGAGGAATCTGACCAACCCAAGAAAAAAGATCCAGAGTTCCTAAAAATTAGGGTCTCCCAAAGAGGCCCACATGGGTGATACCTTTCACCCCAGTGTTCACAGTTTCCAGTCAACTATTAGTGCCCCACTTATAAAAGTGAATAGACAACCAGGGATCACTAGACTCTGACAAGGCCTTTAACACGAAGAGGTCAAAACAAAGGGAGAAAAACCAATTTAGAGGAAACAAAGACAATGCAGAGAGAGAAAAAAACTTTACTCATATCACCAGAGTGATGGGAGAAGATAACTACATCCATGAAACAAGAACAGAATGGAAGCGTTATAAAAAAGATATTCACAGAACAAAACAGAAGTCCTGGGAATTAAAAAGATGAAAGCTGAAATGAAAAATTCACTAACAGTAAGATAAAGCTAGGCAAGTCTACCACAAAGATAGAGCAAGATGATAAAGGTATGAAAAGTACAGGAGAAATAAAGTTTCAGAGAAATAAAGGTCCAACATTCAAATAACAGGAGTTCTGGAAAGAGGAAATGGGAAAATCATAGAGCTGAAAGATACTAGTTTCAGGACAGAGGGGACCCACTAGGTGGGGGTGGCACAGTGGATGGGAAGAGAGCCCCCAGGACAGAAAGAAGGTCTTATAAGCTTCTGGCCTAAGGCTTCTCAGCAGCACTGAAAGTTAGAAGACACAGCACAATAAGTTCGGAAGGAAAACGATCCTATTCTAGAACTCTAAATCAAACTGGTGTATTTAAAAGAAAGATTTTCAATATGCAAGGCCTCAAAAATTTTTATCTCCCATGCACACTTTTTCAAGCGGGTATATTTTGCCAAAGCAAGTCAGTCAAAAGGAAAGAGAAAGACAGGGGATGGAACACAGGACAAAAGCAAGGGACATCTCTGGATGGAAGTGGAAGGAGATCCCAGAAAGGCTGCTAGAGGTCCCAGGCGGCCGGTCTCCCCTGCAGTGGAGGAGGCTCTGAGAGAGGGGAGCCACCCAGCATGTCTGAACACTAGGAAAGAGATTTCCACAATGAAGGCAGAGCGTGGGAATAACTCAGTGTTAAGTACACAGAAAGCTAAGAAAAATTGTAATTAAGACGATTACTAGTCCAGGAAAAACTAAAGATGTTTAAGAAAGGAAGGGAATGGGGCTTGGTTGGTAAGGGGTCACCACAGTCATATTCCTTAGATTACTAGTGAGGTGAGGCGCCTCTGGGAGCAGGAAAGAGTACACAGTGGGAAGGAGAATGACTGGGAGGGGTGGGCTGGGGAGTTGGCTACTTTGTAACAAATCTTTCTTTTCTTTTTTCTTTTTTAAAAGCGCTCTGGTCTTGCTCTTGTCATCCAGGCTGGAGTGCAGTGGCACAATCCCAGCTCACTGCAACCTCAAACTCCTGGGCTCAAGCAATCCTCCCACCTCAGCTTCTTGAGTAGTTGCAACTATAGGCACATGCCACCATGCTTGGCTAATTTTTAAAATGTTCTGTAGAGACAGGGTCTTGCTATGTTGCCCAGACTGGTCTCAAACTCCTGGCTTCCTCTCGCCTTGGCCTCCCAAAGTACTGGGATTACAGGCATAAGCCACTGCATTCAGCCAGTAACAAATCTTATAGAACTTTTTAAACTTTGTGCTGATTTTAAAAACTTGATTTTTAAAATGTGTAACAACATAACTGTGTAAGATAATGTTAAAAACATGTCAGTCCCATCAAATAATTTATCTCCTTTTCTTAAAATGCAAATGATTCTTCTCTAAAATAAAACCAAAGATATAAAATGAATTATAGTTGTATAAAAACAGAACACTGAAATTTTAGGATATAATGCCCTTTAGCCTCTGGGTAAATTAAGTTTCATGGGATTAGGCTGGCTTTACTTACTATGTCATGTGGAAATATTTTAAAAATTGCACTGGAGATCTGTTACAAATACATTTCACTTTATAAATGCAATAGGGCTTCCCCCTATGAACTTGCATCTGGGAAGAAGATCCCACTGTTTTTCAAAGATGGCAGATGCACTCTCATTTGATCCTTTTGCTTGATGCCAGTACTTGCCCCCATCTTTGACATGAAGGGTAAAACATTTCCTTAGATCTGGCAACTCAGAGCTCAGGGACTTTATTACCCAAATAACCTGGACAATCGTCCCTGTCATCTTTTCCCACCGCTGAGCTGCCAGCCTGAAATGGTGAGACATCACTCATGGCTGCAGACCAGACATGGCACGATTTCATATTACAACCCAAAACAACACAAGATGGCATTGGAATACAATTTACTTCCCTGTCTCTATCCCATCCTGACAAATAGATGGATCATCCCTGCTTCCAGCTTTGCTTTATAATAGGCCCCAAATAATTCCCCTAGTAGTAAAAGGGTAAAGAATTGAGCTAAGGAACCTCCACCCCCAAGTCTGGGCTGGGTCTGTGCCTCGGGACCCCTTGGAAGAGAAGCCATCCTGGTTTCCCAGTGGTTAGGGTGAGAGACTGAGGCTGTTCACTGCTAGAAACTTGTGGCTTCCACCAGAAGAATCAGTAACAAGCTTCATTTATTTTGCAGCCAGCAGTAATCTGAATATGAGATGATGCCTCAAAGAATGTTGCAATCTCTCTAGGTACTGCAAAATCATCGTAGGGAAGCTTTTGAAGCCACAACAAACGGAAAAGGAGGGTGTAATTACATGTCAGAGAGAAGGACAGTGCAGTGGGCCTCCAGGGTAAACAAACCAGGTAATTTCCCCTGTGGGATCTCCAAGTGGTTAATGATCACCTGAAAGCTATTGCTGTCTTGTAGGAGGTGATCTGTTAACCTTTGGAGCAGGGAGTCTAAGAGTGCACATGTCCACATCAACTGAGACGTTTACATGTGTCAGCTAGGCTGCACCGGTGACCACAGTTCTGGTACCCTGAACATAGCCACAGTGTTAAAGTTTAGAGGGTCTTCAAGGAGCTTCCTGGGATGGCAGCTCAGCATTCCATTTCTAAAATTCCACAGATCTAGGTTAGCACTACTAAATCCCTCTGTTCATTACCTGCTATCTACCTGTGCTGAGCACACCCTCACTCCCCCTTGTCAAAGGCCTGACACAGGGGTGCTTCTTCAGAGTTTCAATCACACACACTAGAGCCCAGACCGGGGCTTCCAGGAGCAGCATTAACTGCAAGCTGCCAGTCTGATTGGGGCTTGAGCAATCACAGGTAACTAAAGGAAAAGAACACCATTATTTATCAAAGACTCCTTTCTCCTTCTTCCTGAAGTCTTTGAAGCCTTTGCCATGCTTCCAGAATGAAAATACTGCCTCGGCTTCCAGCAAGTTCTTCAATACGTGACTATTTCCTGCACTGTTCAGAAAGGAATAGACACAACTTAGAAGTAGGCACGGTGTTTGTTAAGAGATATGACAACTATCTGGCTATCTAGGCTCAGCTTTTCCTAGGCAAAGTACTGGGCCCTAGCATAATAATCAGA